GAAGCTCTTGAGGAAGGATTCAAACATTATAAACAACTCTTAAACACACACTCTCTCTCTCTCTCTCTCTCTCTCTCTCTATATATATATATATATATATATATGTTTACATTTGTTTGCATTTACACATACACTGGGACATGATAAACTATATAAGACTCATCTGAGGTCAAAGAAGGATATGCATAGGAGTGTTCGACATTGACACAGACTCAATAATCATGTGCATATGATCATATAAAATAATATTTTATTAAATGAACTCCAAGAAAAGGAAACACAATTCTTTAGTTGCTGTTTTTGCTGTTTTTGTTTTGTTTCCCTTTTGTCTTCTTTGTTAGTTTGTATTTGGATGGGTAAGGAGGGAACACAGAAAAGTGGAACCAAAGGTGAACAGATACCACAGTGGTACTCCTTAGACACTAAGTGCAAAGTGAACTGTACATCTTGTAGGTGGAGATGGGAAGGAAAAACAAGAAGAAAGCAAGGAAAGAGATGACAAAGAAAGAATTGTACTCACTACCTGGCTCATGTAACTGTAAAGCCCTATGTATATCACCTCCACAGTAACCATAAAATAAAAAGAATTTTTTAAGAAACTATAATAATATGTGGAATTTCCAAGAAAAATAAATACAGTCACATAAAATAATTGATGCTTTTCAAAGCAAATAAAGTTGCTTTCAAATAGATAAGAAAATTAAAATACACCCTCCAAAATTAAAAAAACAAAACTCTTAGAGGTGATACAGATTAAAAACCGGGAACTACATTGGTTGACATATTGTCACTTTGTACACATCAAGCATTGAATTATTGCTTTTAAATATAAACAGCTAATTTGCATCTTTCAAGTAGAGAGTTAAAATGATTTGCATTTACTGTTACTAAGGAGAACTATTTGAAAATTCCTGTAAATTATATTATTTTCCTTGGTTGATTTGAATATACTTTGTTCCATCTACTATCTATCTTGTACTTATTATTTTGTTTTCTCCTTCATTAATCTACCTAAGAGTTTTCCAATTTGTGATTTTTCTTCCTCATCTGTATGTAAGATTTCTATGAGTGATTTTTGGAATTTTGAGTAAATAGTCATTAATTGCCTTAGTGAAATAATAAGGTTACTGACCTAGTAACTTCACTGGGTAAATTTTTTTAATTTTTTAAAACTCAGGAAATATATTTCTTATCATTAATTCCAAAGCTCTTAGGCTTCTACAAAGAGGGCTGATAAGATTCTGATAAACTTAGTAAAGAAGTTTAGATTGTGCCTCTTGTACCATTAAATATAATACTTTTTCTATATAGTTGTACAATTTTAATTTGTCATGGAGATTTTCTTTCCTGGTCATATCTACTTAAGATTCAAATTATCTCCTATATTTCCATGTACATACTTCCTTATATTTTAGAAATTTTCTATTATAATTTATTAAACATGTTTCCTGTGCCATATTTAGTATTTATGCTTTTTATTATCTATAGATTCCATGTTACACCTTGAGTATATCCATATGTTCCTTTTTATTATTATTAATTTAATTTATTGTGTTTATAAAGGTGAGTTACAGAGGAATTACGATTACATGAGTCAGCTAAAGCATGCATTTCCTTTTGTACAGCGTCTTCTATTCCCTCATTCTTTCCCAGTTCTTCCCTCCCATCTCCACTCACAAGTTGCATAGTTCACTTTTATCAGTGTCCAGTAAGTTGCACTATTGTACCTTTTCACCACTTTCCCCCTTGATTGCTGTGTCCTCTCTGCAACCCTTTCAAAGAGACACTACACGTAAGATGAAGAAGATAGAAATATCAGAAGCTAAGAAGGAAGGAAGGAAGGAAGGAAGGAGAGGAGAGAAGGAAAGAAGGAAGGAAGGTCTCTTGTTTGCATATCTTGTAGTTTGTTTCAGTATGAATATTATTTTATATAAATATGAAGCCGACTTAGGCATAGCACCTGAGTACCCTCTTTGGGACAAGCTGGGTGAGCACTTTTGCCAGGATTCACAATCCTGTTGTTTGGAGGCACAATTAAAAAGAAAACAGATATGTAAATGTACTAAGATCACAATTGGAAATATTAATTTGACACCAAAAAATCAGATGGAAACAAACTAAGATACTTATAATACAAACTGAGACATAAATAGTATCATGACATAAACATTAATAAATAATAAATAGATCTCTAGGGCAAGAAAAAAGGAGAAAAGCAAGATATTAAAGAAAGTAGAAATATATGGGGTCAAGCTCTGAAAAAGAATCATGAGAGAGAAAAATAAAATGCCTTTAGAGTCAGACACAACAGAAGAACTAAATAAAAAAGAACTAAACCACAATAATATAAACAATAAAAAATAAACTTTTTATACAATGAACATGAATATATAATATGACACAAGCAGAAACGGTCAGATAAGTTGATGTTAGGCGAAATGAACCTCAAGATAAGGATTCAAATGTTTCATCTTTCTTGTGATTGTTTCTAACATATTTATAAGATGATTTCTTTGTTGCTTTGTATGTCCCTTCTCCACAGTATAACCCCTGTTTTCACTGTATTTGATGTTGGTATAATTTGTGGAGAGGAAGGGAAAAAACAAATTGTTTAAATAGGGATACAGGTGGAACCCATTGCAACAATGAGATGTACAAGACGATATGTCGAAAATCGAACTTTACAACTTTGGCCAGGGGGGTAGGGGTGGAGGGTGGGGAAAGGGGAGTTGGGGGGACATAGTGGGGGAGATGGGAAGGGATGGGAAGGGGAAACAAAAGAGGAGGCAACAATGCTTGAAAAAAAATGTACTGATTACCTTGCCCATGTAATTGTAAGCCCTCTGTATGGTATTTTCACCATAAAAAAATAATCTTTTCAGTTCTATATGTTTATATACAAATAAGTATTAATTTCACAAAAGGAAATAATTAATAGAAATTGTAATGTTAAAATGGTTAAAATTTACATTTGCTTTCATTTACATCTTCCAATGTTGATGCAAATTTATCTTTTTTAAATTTTGGCATATGATCTCTTTATTTTTAAAGAATACATTTTACTCTTGATAGAATTACACATTTATATAAAATATATTGTGATGAAAATTGTAACCTTCAAACTGCTAGTATCATGCTATGTTATAATCAATCTAATAAAACATGTTCTTCATAATAGTCAACCATTGTATAGCGTTTTTATTACATTACATTTATTTATAGAATTAATGTTTCAATTTATAAAATAAATTTCTAATTATCACATCAAAGCTATCAAAGCTATTCAGTGTGGAGCCTCTTTGTGAAAAAGTCAGACTTCGACTCTTGAAATTTTATCCTTGACGACGTGCCAAGTAACCTTCCATAAAAATTGGTCATGGTGGATGACAAAGTGTTGCACAATCCCCAGACCCATTTAAAGAGGAGCCCTGCACTTAACAGGCTGGAGACGGGAATACATGGCTTTTCTTCTAGTAACTCCTTCACATTTGTCACAGATATGCCTTCATGGTAATCTCTGCATTTGAACAATCCGACCAGAATTTTTGGATAATTGTCATTTGTGTCAGAATAACAAAATGGAATGTACAAAAGTGTAAGAAAAGTATGTCACATGATAGATTATGTTCAGCTTCTTAGAAAAACAAAGCATATGAGTTTGCAAGATTTGTTTCCCACCAATTGTGATCTAGGTAAGTATTCTTCAAACATACTTGTTTTACTAGGCTAGGAACTTAAAAAAATAATGTAGTATTTTAAAGTAATATTCTGTAAGACAGCCAGGAAAATAGTTCAGTAAATATTTATTCATGAAGTAAAATATAATAGTTTTGGTGCTGGGAATGTGGCTTAGTGGTAAAGTGCTTGCCTGGCATGCAAATAAAAGCCTTGGATTAACTTTCTCAGTACCACATAAAGCAGAAATAGCCAGAAGTGGTGTTGTGGCTCAAATGTTAGAATGCTAGCCCTAAGCAAAAGAAGCTCAGGGACAGCGCCCATACTCTGAGTACAAGCCTCAGGACTGACAAAAAATAAAAAATAAAAATAAAAACATAATGGTTTTTAAAAAGTTCATTTTTTAAAAAGAATATTTTTACACATATCACTTATTTACCCTAAGACTGGTCAGGATTGATAGAACCATAGATGAGAGCATCAGAATCTACAGGCAATGCATATATTGTGGTAATATAATTGAAGAAGCATTTTTAATTTGAGTGCTCAAGTAAGAAAAGCCTTATATTTTCTAGCTATTAATACTTATGTATGGCAAAAAATTAATCCAAACAACACAATGTTAATAAAATGGAAATATATTTATAAAATTCATTGATATTGTAAACAAAGCACAGACTTTCATTATAGATGTTTTCTGTTACAGTTAGTTAAATGTCAAGAATTTTGCTAAGGCTTACTGAGCTAATTATAAGCATGAGTAAAAGGAGACTATGTTGTGAACATGGTGGTTGTAGTATACTTGTATTGATAAAATCAGAGGCTCTACAAGGGCTGCTACTGTCATGCTAAGCTATATAATTTTTCTTAAAAAGAGACAGATGAAAGGGGAAAACAAAGGAGGAGGCAACAATGCTCAATAAGAAATGTTCTCATTTCTTTGTCATGTAACTGTAACCCCTCTGTATATCATTTTTACAATAAAAAAGTATAGAAAAAGAAAAATAAAGTTACAGTGGTATGTGGTTATATAGCATTGTGGAAGACTTTGTGTTCATTAAATGTGTTTATAACCGTAAATTACTTGGGACAGAACCAGGTCCATTCAAATCAGAACAAAAGTTAATATGCACTGTATTCCACTTAATTACATTTTCTTTTACTGTGATTGATTTTTTTCACTATATTTTGAAAACTTGTTATTCATTTTCAGAACACCTAAATTAATTATAAAAATGGAGAATCAATTGTAAAAACAGAAATGCTCTGAAGTATTTGGAGGAAAGTTTCACCTTTAATTTTTCAACAGCTTAGATCAGCCAGCAATGAGAACCTGGAATAACACAAACGTGCCCTCTTTCATTCTAATGGGGCTGACAGATTCTAGAGAGATCCAGCTGGCCCTCTCCCTGCTGTTTCTATTGATCTACCTGATTACTGTGCTGGGCAACCTAGGCATGATCATGTTGATTTGTCTAGATCTCCAGCTTCACACGCCCATGTATTTTTTTCTCACTCACCTCTCATTCATTGACCTCAGCTACTCAAGTGTCATCACCCCTAAAACTTTAGCAAGCTTGTTGACTTCTACCAAGAACATTTCCTTCACTGGATGCTTCACCCAGCTCTACCTTTTCATCCTGTTTGGTGGTGCTGAATGTTTTCTCCTCTCTGCAATGGCCTATGATCGCTATGTGGCCATCTGCAATCCTCTGCAGTATCCTGTTATAATGTCCTCAAGATTCTGCTGTGCCCTTGTTACTGGGACTTACATGATTGGCTTAGTGGATTGTTCTTTCAGTGTGCTCTCCATAGTCAGATTGCCTTTCTGCAGCTCCAATGTAATTCATCACTTTTTCTGCGATGTATCTCCAATTTTAGCTCTATCCTGTAAAAATACATTTGTTGCTGAAACTGTAATATACATTTGTGCTGGTTCTACCCTATTGCTGTCCCTTATTACAATATCCATGTCCTATGTGTCTATTCTGTCTACTATTCTAAAAATTAAGTCCACTTCAGGAAAGCAGAAAGCCTTCTCCACCTGTGCCTCCCACCTCCTGGGGGTCACCATTTTCTATGGCACTATGATCTTTACTTATTTAAAACCCAAGAAGTCTTACTCCCTGGGCAAGGATCAAGTGGCTTCTGTGTTTTACACGATTGTGATCCCCATGCTCAACCCACTCATTTATAGTCTTAGAAACAAGGAAGTGAAGAATGCTTTCATTAGAGTTGTGCAGAAGAGAGGGGGCTCCAAGCAACTAAGATGACAGCGAAGTGAAGCATTTATACTCATCTTCAGTGCTCTATAGGAAAAAGGACTGACTTGTTTGCACATGCTTATACTCAATTGCCCTTCATTTCTGTTACCACAGTGGACATTTCCAAGAATTTATTATTAGAAAACTATATGGAAGTTCTAGGTGATAATTGATAAGCATATATGGGTAAATAATATACCACAAAAATTACTTGCCTACGGCTGTTAAATCATACAATATTCAATATACACCATAATTTTGATGCATAATGAATTTTCTTAAGGAAGAGACATCTATATAAAAGTTTTAGTAATCCTTTTTTATTGCATTGAGTAATTTGTTATGTGTACAGTGCTTATTAGCTAACTGAATATTTAATCTTCAGTGTCCTCACTGAGAGAAGGTAAATCTTGATTTCTGGTTCATGTGTCACATGGGAGATGAACATCATTGATGTGACTGACACTTTGCCTTGTCTTTAACATTTAAGTTTTGTTCCTTTAACGTTGTAATTCAAGTGCCTTTCTAATTTCTTCTGGATTTATTCCTTCCCTGGAACTTGAACTTAGGACCTGGGTTCTGTCCCAAAAGAAGTTTTCCCTTCTGAGTTTCTGGTGGTTAACTGAAGATAAAATTCTCATTTATAGTCCACTCATTTATAGTCTTAGGAACAATAAAGTGAAAAATGCTTTCATTCATGTCATGCAGAAGATAGGAGATGCTGGGCAACTGAAATGACAGTGCTGTGACATGTTTAGATTCATTATTCCTGGTTTCTCAGAAAAAAGAACTGGTTCGTTTGTATGTGTTTATATTCAGCTACCCATCATTTCTCAAAATGTGATTGGCTTTCCCAGGAATACACTAACAGAAGTCCATTTTAAAATGTCAGGTCACAAAGCATGTGTTTCGATGGGAGACAAATACTGTCTAAAATATAAAATTTGGCTATAATTCTTTAAAGTATGCCATAAAAATTCAGTGAATATTGCAGGATGAAGTTATTATATTATGAAAACCCTTATTTTGCCTTAACAATAGACTCTGTGATAATGGTTTTAGTACTCACTTCCTTTATTGTATGAAATAATTTCTTACCTATACACCTTTTAAGAAACCATTGAGTTTTCATCCCATTTCCTCAGTTCTACAGGATAAATCATAATTCCAGGTCCACAGAACCAAAAGTATCTATAATAATCTTCAAGCTAAAATCATGTGTGAGACTTTATCTGTAGAAAACAAATTCCCATCACTGTATAGTTTTATTTATTTTTTGCATTATGCTTTTTCATAAGTATATTCGCATCTGTTTTTAAAATTACTTTCAGTAAATTTAATTCATAAACTTGAAAGTAGTATTTTTGAAATTCTTAATTAAACTATGACTATTATATTATAGGAAATTAATGCTTAACATTAAGGACCGTTTTCTCTTCAAATTTATTGAAGAATGTTAAGATGTAAGATAAGTATATTCTCAGACAAACTCAAAGTTAATTTTAAAATTCTTTAGGCCTGAATTACTGTAAGCTTATGGGGTTGAAAAATTCTATGTATGGTTCATCTTTTTTTGTGTTCAAATGTTAAAAATTTGAAGGGTAGTCCTTCCGGTGACAGAAAATGAACCTGTGAGATTTTTTTGTTTTACTTGTGTGATTATTTACAATTTGGAATATAGTTTAAAAATAAATATTTGAATTTAATGCTTGAATCACATTTTTTAAATAGAGAAAAATATATACCATATGTGTGGTCAGCAGCATGGGATCATTTAGTAATGATTTAACCAGATAACTGGAGGTCCTTTGTGTCTTGAATATTGTTTATTTGTTGTATCACCTTACATTTTGGATTTAACATCTGCTTATCAGGGGGACCATGTGCCATTTTTCTCTTTGCTCTTGGCTTACTTCACTCAACATGATTTCTTCTAGTTCCATCCATTTCCCTTCAAATGCCATTATTTTGTCCTTTCTAATGGCTGCATAATATTCCATTGTGTATAGATACCACAACTTTTGGATCCATTGTGGTGGGGCATCTGGTTTGTTTCCATATCCTGGCTATTGTGAACAGTGCTGCAATAAACATGGAGGTGCATGTGTCCTTGTATACTGGTTCCTGTTGTTCAGGATAGATGCCTAGGAGTGATATGGCTGGATCATAGGGGAGGTGAATATTTAGCTTTCTGAGGACACTCCAGACTGCTTTCCAAAGTGGTTTTATAGGTGTACATTCTCACCAGCTTTGTAATAGGGTTCCTCTTTCTCCACATCCCCTCTAGAATTTGTAGTTGGCTGACTTTAGGATGTGGGACATTCTGACTGGGGTAAGGTGGTATCTCAGGGTTGTCTTTATTTGCATTTCCTTCACAACCAGGGATGGTGAACATTTCCTCATGTGTTTCTTTGCCATTTTTATCTCTTCTTCTGAGAAGTCTCTCTTTCCTTCCCTTGCCCATGTAGTAATTGGTTTGTTGGGTTTGGGAGGGATTAGTTTCTTGAGTTGCCTGTACATACTGGATATTAACCCCTTATCTGATATATTGCTGGTAAATATTTTTTCCCAGTTAGTTGGCTGTCTTTCCAGTTTGGTTTCTATATCTTTCCCTGTGCAGAAACTTTTTATTTTAAGATAGTCCCATTTGTTGAGTCTTTCTCCAACTTGTTGTGACCCCAGAATTCTGTTCAGGAAGTTCCTCTCTGTGCCTATAAGTTCAAGTGTCTCTCCTACTCTGTCCTCCAGTAGTTACAGAGTTTCAGGTTTGATGTTAAGGTCTTTAATCCATTTTGAGTTGATGTTGGTTATGGTGACAGGCTGGGGTCCACTTTTAGTTTTCTGTATGTGGCCACCCAGTTTTCCCAGCACCAGTAGTTAAAGAGACTGTGCTTCTTCCGCTATATGTCTTTGGCTCCTTTGTCAAATATCAGCTGACTGTAGGCATTTGGCTTCATTTCTGGAACTTCTGTTCTATTCCATTGGTCCTTGGGTCTGTCTTTGTGCCAGTACTAAGCTGTCTTTGTTATTATGGATCTATAGTAGAGTTTGAAGTCTGCCATTGTGATCCCTCCCATGTTACTGACCATTTTTTTTGTTTTGTTTTGTTTTCAGTGCTTAGTAAGAAATAAGAGTCTCACAGACTTTCCTGCCTGGCTTCAAACTCTGATCCTCAGTTCTCAGCCTCCTGAGTAGCAAGGATTATAGGCATGAACCACCAGAGCATGGCAATTTATTTTCATTGTATTGTCAACTCATAAGTATATAATTTTGAAATACATTTCCTATAGCCTAGTATCAATACACTATTATATTTTGCTTGATATAGTTTATTTATAGAGATATTGGGTATTCATGGAAGTAACAATATTAAGTCATTTAGGCTAAGTATCACCTTAAATTTTTTTACTGTCAGCACATGATGAGAACCTGGAATAACACAAAGGTAGCTGACTTCACCCTTATGGGATTGACAGACTATGGAGAGATCCAGGTGGCCCTCTATATGATGTTTCTCCTGATTTACCTGATTACTGTGCTGGGCAATCTAGACATGATCTTTCTTTCTTTCTTCATTTTTTTCTTTCTTTCTTTTTTCTTTTGAGTTGTAATTGATAATAAAATTCTTTACTAATAACTAGTTTTTACAAATATTTGTAAATAGCTTTACAAAGTATCATGAAATAATAAAATTACTGACTTAGTTAACTCATTGGGCAATTTTTATTTTTTTTAAAATCTCAGGAAAACTATATCATACCATTAATTCCTGATTTTTAGGACTTCTTCAAAGAGAGTTGATAATATTCTGATGAGATTACCTTAGTAACTGACTCTTGCATCATTAAATGTAATTTTTTTCTATATACTTGTGAATGTTAATTTGTCATGGAGATTTTCTTTTCTGGTCATTCCTATTTAAGATATAAAATATCTCCAATACTTCCATGTACATACTGCCTTATATTTTGGAAATTTTCTATTACAATTTTATTGAATACATTTTCTGTGCCTTGTTTAGTGTTTCTGGTTTTCCTTCTCTATAGATTCCAGGTTTCATCTTGAGCATACCCATATCTTCCTTTTTATTGTTAATAAATTAATTCATTGTGATTACAGAGGTGAGGTACAAAGGAATTAGAATTACATGAGCCTGCTAATGCATACATGTCCTTTCATACAGTGTCTTCTGTTCCCACACTCTCTCCCAGTTCCTCTCTCCCGTCTCCATCCACAAGTTGTATAGTTCATTTTCATCAATGTCCAGTGAGCTCCACTGCTGTACTTTTGCTTCACTTTCTCCCTGAATTTTGTGTCCTCTCTGCAACCCTTTTAAAGTACACTGTATGTAAGATAAAGAAGACAGAACTATCAGAAGCTAAAAAGGAGAGAAAAAAGAAAGTGAGAAAGAACAAGAAAGAAAAAGAAAGAAAGAAAGAAACAAAGGAAGGAAGGAAGAAAGAAAGAAAGAAAGAAAGAAAGAAAGAAAGAAAGAAAGAAAGAAAGAAAGAAAGAAAGAAAGAAAGAAAGAAAGAAGAAAGAAAGAAAGAAAAAGAAAGGAAGGAAGGAAGGATAGAAAGAGGGGCTGGGATGGTTGCTCAGTGGTAGAGCGCTTGCCTTGCATGCATGAGGTCCTGGGTTCGATTCCTCAAGACCACATAAGCAGAAAAAAAGGGAGAAGTGGCGCTGTGGCTCAAGTGGTAGAGTGATAGCTTTGAGCTGAAGAGCTGAGAGACAGCGCCCAGGCCCAGATTTCAGGCCCACGACCAGAAAAAAAGAAAGAAAGAAAAAAGAAAGGTCTCTTGTTTGCATATAGTATAGTTTTTTCCATATGAATATTATTTTATTTAAATATGAAGTTGACTTAGGCAGAGCATCTAAGAGTATCCTCTTTTAGTCTCATTGGTTGTGCACATTCACAGCCCTGATGTTTGGAGGTAAAATTTAAAAGAAAACAGATAGGTAAATATAGTAAGATAACAACTGGAAATATAACTGGACACCAAATA